GAAGACCTCTCAGTTTAAGGAGGAGAAGGACTAATTACATCCTGACCCTAGAGAGGTTGATAAAATGCTCTGTGGGAAAGGCCCTAAAAGGCAGTACCTGTAGGAAAAGCAAAATGAGGAAATACGCATTTGCAAGTCTCTGGAACTGTTCAAATAGGTTCATAGGCAAGAAGTTTAAGGCATTATATTTTGAGGTCTTGATGCTATTGTTCTGTGAGTAAAAGAAAACAAGCACAATTAGAGGAACAAAAGACCCTATCCCTCCCAGTCTTAACACAGAGGACGAAGACCACTTCAAAAACTAGGAAAAAGCCACAGCTCCTCGACATAGCAGGGGAAGGAGGCAAGAAGTGTTTGTCTCCCAACCCCGTTTTCTTTGAGGCCTAGAGAGGCCTAGAGTATCCATAGATGGCAAGGATGATCAATATGGGACATTTTTAGGATGGGCTGGATATATTTATGCCCTGAATAGAATTCTTTGTTTATTGATGCCATTAATAATGATGATGATAATAAAATTAACAATAAAAAGTTATACCTATTGAATATTTACTATGTGTAAGGGACTATTCTAAACATTTTATATGGCACAACTTATTTAATTCTCACAACTGTCTGAAGGGAGTACTATACGATCAACTTTTGAGGATGAAGAAATTGAGGCACTGAGGTTAATTTATTTGCTCAAGACCACACAGTTACTTGCAGATTGTGCTATCCCCCGAGCCCCAGTTCACTTGTGCAGCCATCCAAATGCTTTCTTTCCTTAGAATCAGAAACCTTTCAGTTTCATTTCACTTTCTGACCCAAAGTCCTTCTCAGCTCTAAAGAGCAGGAAGGTTGTCATTTGTGTTAGCGCTACTCCAGAGCTTGCTAATGAAGCTTGTCTTTGCCTTGCAAGCCCAGCTTGGTGTGCCTTTACATGTTGCTTTCAATGCTGAAGGATGTCAGATGCCAAAAGCAAATTACTGTCTTTCAGCCTTAGCCCACTGAAGGTTCCTACACTGGTTGCTGTCAGCACTGGAGAATCACTTGCCCCTTAATTGTCCTGAGAGAGTCTGAAGAGTTTTGACCTACAGCTAAGCTATCATTTTATTGAGTGAAAACAGGAACTTGCTACCTCTTCAGTTCTATCTCAAGATGTTGGCAGGACCATCTCATTTTCTACTTTTGGATCTTCAGTCTTTTGACCTAAGATGTGACAGTTTGAATCTAAGAGCTCAAGAAGAATGAGACCAAATAATTCCCTAAGGATAGGGCTTCTCCTCCACCTCTACATCTAGACGGCCAAACAAAAGAGTAAACCCACCTGCAGTCCTGGAAGACGGATACTGCTTAAGTATGAAGAATCTTGCTGGGCCCTACCTTGGGAAAACATCTGAATCTTTCTCTTGGAGAACCAACACCATTCTGTCCTAAGGTTAAAACTTGCTGAGGAAGGCTACCTAGTCAAGACCTGCCTAAGGCCTATCTCCCTAGGGAAAAGAAGTTAGCCAAACAGCTTAGCACTTAGGAGTTTAGAGGTCAAATTAAACCTACGATTTCCTTGGTGTTTCTCCATGATTTTCCAATTAATAATCAAACACTATACATTTCTCAAGGCTTGCTTTGTTCACAGCTCCATGCTGGGATATACAAGTAGAGGTTGAAAAAGAATTAAACAAGATCTCTCTTGGAGAGCTCACAGGTCTGTCTTGAATGGAGTTCTAACTAAATGACCCCTAAGGGCCCTTTGAGCTCTTGAGAGTAGGTTATTCTAACATAGAAATGGTTTTCTTTGATCATAAGATACTCTAAATTTCTCAGTATCTAAGACAACTTTGATACTTAGACCCAAAGATTGTTTGGTCTTTTTCCTTACTGAAGCAGCTGGCTTTCACCATTGATTTTCCATTTGATTTTATAGTTAATTAGTGCACTTCACATTTCTACTCACTTGGGTAGCTGATTCTGTCTCAAGACAGACATATCAGTACTTCTTTACTAACTTGGCAACTACAGTGTTTTGTCCTACTCCTAAATATCAAACCAGAAGCAGTATCTCAGGAATGTAGAACGTCTGCTTAACTATGAAATTCCTCAGTGTTTAGCTATTTTGGCAGAGATGAAAAAATTTAAGCATGATAGAGGTGGTAGATTTTGGTTTGGGCTATTTATTTATTTGGGCAGTGATGACTAAGTGGGAGAATAGATAGTTTTACTGCACCATAGTGCTTCTTATGCAGGTCTAGAAGGTAGAGAGAGGGAAACCTGTTTCAATGGCCATATCCTAAACATTGTTATTATCCAGAACCAATTTAACTCAGAAATCATACACTAATATCCTACAGAGACTACAAATATGTACATCTATGTATATATATGATATACTTATAGGACTATGTATATATATCTACATGTGTACAAAATAACATATATATATATATATATATATATATAAAATTGCTTGTAATTGAAAATATTGGAAACAATCCAGATGTCAATTTATAAGGAACTGGTTACATAAACTATGTTAAATCTGCCTAGGAAACACTATACAGTCAAAAAAAGAAAAGAAGGAAAAAGCTAGTATGAAATTATGATTATGAAAACATCTCCAGGACATACTGTTAAGGTTCGGATAGTGTAAGAAAGTGGGCAAATGAGAATGTATACTGGTATTTGCTTTATTTCAACAAAGAAGCACTGATGAACACATAAGAAATTAATAAAAGTGATTCCCTATACAGAGCAGAGATTGGGCAAGGATGGGGTGTTGGAGCATGGCTTTTAAACATACATCTTTTTATGAGTTACTTATTAATAAATAAATAAATAAATAAGTGAAAAATGAACAATTCAATAGAAGACGGGCAAAGATCATTAACAGTAGTTTCCATAAAAAGAAATACAAAGGCTAATTAACACAAAAAGATTATTGATCTTACTCAAAATTAAGGAAAGACAGATAACAATATGTCATTTTTCATCTAAGAGCCTGGCAAAGATGAAAAAAGACTGATAATACCAAGTTTGGCAGGAATATGGAGAAGTGAGCAGTCTTTACTATATGTGGAGATATAAATGGATATAATCTTTTTAGAGGGCAATCTGGCAAAATGTGCTGAAAATTTTAATGTGTTTTCCTTTTGACCCAGCCAATTCACTTCTAGGAAACTCTCATAAGGTATACTCACACAAATGTGCCAAAGTATATATAAAATGGTGTTCATTCAGGACCATTTATCATAGCAAAACAGTGGAGACATTTTTTTTGGAGGGGGCTCCTGGATATAAATAGAGACATTTAAAATGTTTATCAATAAGAGACTGGTTAAATAAATTAAGGTATATTGATACAACAGAAAATTATACTGCTATTAAATGAATTAGGAAGATCTATACGTACTGTCATAGACAGAGATGTCTAAGTGAAAAAGAAAACTGTGGAACCATGCTTTAATCTGTGCAAGCTACAGTATTTCTTTTCTAGGAACTATATATAAAACCCAAAATTTGAGATACATTCTCCCCTGACCCTAGGTTACTGGATTAATTTTAGTTTCTGAGCCTCACTGTACCAGCCCTCATTGTACAGAAGCTGGAAAGAAAGTAGAACCTATGTTGGAGGGTCTACATCTGGAAAGAATTTCCTGCCTCACTGACAGCGGGGAATATTACAGGAGAATATCAGCCCACTTTTGAAACAGCTGGAGACCTGATACTCACCGGATATCCAAACAGACTGTTAAATTCCCTGTTGTTGGCTTGCAGATATCTCTCTTGTTCTGAAAAAGAGGAGAGAAATGATGAAAAGTATGCCCCTCTATAAATCAGCCTGGGATGCTGGCTGCTAGTGAAGACTGCACTAGATCCTCATACCTTCTCACTGAGGATATCGGTCCACAAAGAGGATTTTGTCTCTTTACCCAAAGAATCAAGAAAAACAGTAAAAATAGAAACCCTCAAGTATTCAAGCTTTCTGAAGGCAAGAGGACAAGTAACTTCTGAGGAGTTCTCCACCAGAAATGCTTCTAGTAATCCTAGATCACATTTCTACAGACAACAGGATGGCCTGCACCAACATGACTGCCAAACACAGAAACCCAGCCCTCCTTCATAAGCTAATTATAGCACCTTATTTTAAGATATCTGAGGTTCTTTCCAAGGCAGCCTTTCCTAAACCTGCTTGACTAAATTTGAGTTAATAAATCATTACTGAGCATCTACTGCTTAGAAACCAGTGTGCTGGTTGCTGTGGGAGGATAAAAAGATGAGTAAGGTAGGGTCCTGACTTCAAGGGACTTGTAATTTAGTAGAGTCAGCCTCATAACTACAACACAGGACAAAATCATCACATCAAAACTTATAGGTGTTATGAACTATTACAAATAGCCCATTACCATGTTATGAAAAGTCTTAAAAATATATACTATCAATAGATCTTGTCCTGAATGAAAAATTTCTATAGCCTCTTCAATTCTTCATTGGTTCAATAAGCATTTATTGAGTTCTTGGGAGGTGTCGGGCCCTGTGATATGAACATTCATGTATAAGTTTTTGTGTGGATGTTTCTTCCATCAGGCAGTGCTTGAAGTTCAGAGATGTGCACAAATTGCAGGAAAGGTGCAAAGGGGATGTTTAGCTCTTTGTATGCAAGGATTTGAGTATACAGATTTGGAAATTACACAGATTAATTTGGAGAGAGTTAACATTTTCACAGTATTAGTCCCCCATCCAGTAGCATGCTATATCCCTGGAGAGAGAGAGAATTGTTGGTGTGCCCCCAGGAAGCCACTTCTTTCTGCATGATGATCGTGTCCGTACAATCACCTTGCTAGCAATATATAAACAAGTGGCTCTAAGTCCTGCCTGGGCTAGTGTACCACCCAGCTATGTAGCTTGAAGTTTGTTCTCCTGGACTAGTGCATTTCTTTCCTGTTGTTTCATTCCTGTGATTATCAGGATTAGCTGAATAAAGATGGGGGAAGTTAAGATGGGACTGAGAGGATGTTTTGCTGTACTCTGCTTTGACTAGTTAATGGCTTATTTACAACTTTGTGACACAAGAGCTTCTGCTAACCATTGTAGGTCAGGTTATCCCAAGTGGTGGAACATGTATGGCTCAGATAATCTAGCTGCATCTAGGATTTAGAGCTGCTGCAGGGCCTATGCTCTTTGTGCAGGGACTTTCTCAGGGGCCTAGACGGCTGCCTGATTAGGGCAGAGTACCAGGGCAGTACTGGTGCTTCTACTGGTGTTGAGATTACCCAATCCATGAGCAGGCTACTTTTCTACTACATTCATATTCAATTTTCTCAGGTGCTGGTGAGTGAAATCAGTCTCTCTTATGCCATTTGCCCCTTCAATCATACCCAACAGACAAGGACAGCCTTTCCATTTATTCAAAAATATTATTTTATGACTCTTGATAAAGTTCTAGTATTTTCTTATTGAATTTCATATTTCCTATTTAATTTCATCCTAGATATCACTGACTATTTTTTAACTTAATAAAAGTCTAACAGGTTTTCCCAGCAACTGGTCTGGGTGCAACAGGCTATTCTCTCTAAGCCCACCAGCCCCAAAAGATGCATGGAGTTGAGGCTCTGCACAACAACTGAATACATACCTCCCTCCTTGAGCTTAGGAGTGAAATAAAGCAGGTAGACCCCAAAGATCAGAGCCTGAGTTGCTGGAGACAGACTGAGACTTCAAAGTGCGGGACAGGATTAACCTGCACCTAGCTCTGGCTCTTTGATCCCAGGTCTGTCATGAAAGAAAAGGAAAGAAAAAAGAAAGTAGGATTTTCATCAGGAAGGGAAGAGGAATTGAGGGCTAGAAAGTCAGATTTCATTAGATGCCTCTAAAAAAGGAAAAGCAAGAATAATGAGAAAAGTGGTTAAAACTTCAGTTTGCACAACCATTTAGAAGAAGAAACTAACAGTCTGAGAGAAAAAGAAGACAAGCTTAAAAAGAAAGTAGCTAGTCCTGTTTGAGATAATAAAGGCAGAAAAAATAGTTTTTTGACTAGACAATACAAAATTAATTCAAGATTCCCTAGGGCTTATGAATACTGTTGAATACTGGAATGACGAAGTGTTTTCCCCATTACTTGGTAATTCAAAGTTTTTTCCTGTTTGGCTGAAACGAGAGTGACAAAATGTGAATTACGGATAAGAGGTTAGAACTATAGAAGATTGGAAATTAGCCTACACAAGGAGAGTCTAGGAAATGGTCTAGTTGAAGTAGTCATGCTTATGGAATTTAAGGGGACAAACACCTAGATCTAGCCTCAGGTGACTGGGGAAAATGCATCCTTGATTGAGTCTACAGCCTATTTAGTAAAGGCCTAGTAAATAATGGTCTAGTTGAAGTAGTCATGCTTATGGAATTTAAGGGGACAAACACCTAGATCTAGCCTCAGGTGACTGGGGAAAATGCATCCTTGATTGAGTCTACAGCCTATTTAGTAAAGGCCTGGTTTCACAAGGACTTGTGCTGAGAGCTGGCCTAGGGGTGGTAAAAATCATTGAATTGAAAGGGCCAGATATCTTAGTGAAGTTCCACAACACAACTTGGTATTATAAAATGTGCAGTGGACTTAGAGTTAAAAATATGGCAGGCTCCTGCAGTGGTTAAGAACATGGGAACTATGTTCAATATTTTGTGATAACCTATATAGAAAATAATCTGAAAAAAAATATATAACTGAATCACTTTGCTGTACACCAAAGCTAATACAACATTGTAAATCAACTATATTTTAATTAAAAAAAGGAATATGAACAATTGAGTCAGCCTGCCATGGTTCAAATCTCAATCTTTCACTTAACTGCTTTGGAATGTTACTTAATTTATGAGACTAATTTTCTTCATCTGTAAAATGAATGATAATAATACCTACTCGAAAGGTTATTGTTAGAATTAATAAGCTAAGGCATGCAAAACATTTAAAAACAATTACCAGTATATGAAAAATGCTCAGAAAATTTTAGCTATTCTAGACTGGGCTCTGTGACTGAATTGTTAAGTGGCTTAGGGCAAGTTACTTTCCATTTTTGGGCTTTAGTCTCCTCATATGTAAAACGGGGTAGTAATATCTACCTCATATGCTAACATGAAGGTTAAATGAGATAGTAATCTACATAATACCTGACATGTCAAAAATACTCATTAAATGGTATTTTTTGTCCTTTATCTTATGCTATGTCAAGGAGATTTCATAAGCACCACTGATACAGTTGTCTGTGCTCAAAGTCGATTTTGAACTTTCGGCTATCTCCTGTGGATGTACTAAGCTGATTCAGCCAGTAGAGAAGAAAGGGTACACAAGACACAGTCTAGTAAGGCAAACTCTACTTAGTCTTTTGGTAGGATGGTAATAGAACAGAAGTGTCAAAATAGGAGAAGCCTTTGTTTAAGGATGTCCTTAAGAGTTTTGATCCAAATGCCAGGGTAAAAACAGCTCTTATGCAATCTTGATGTAATCCAACTTCAGGTTTTAGGAGTTAAAGCTACAGAAAACTGGAGATTAGCCCAGAAAAGGAAATGGCAGAAGGTAAAAGGAAAATGAATTCTGTAAGAGGGAACTAGAGAAAGTGGCACATTGAAAGAAAAGGAAACAGGAGGAAGAGGGAAGGAGAGAGAAAAAGGATAGCAGATAGCAGTCAGGCTTGGGAGGCTCTGAGCAAATATCTCCTTGCTCCTAGTGGGAAATCAATCAGAAACAGGATTTTCCAACCAAAGACAGAAGAGCAGTGAGATGATCTTCAGGAGTGCAAGTCTCTAACTAGTAGATTAGTCAAGGCCCCCTCTCCTTATACCACCAGACTCCCAGATCAGGTGAACCCAGGTACTGGTGACAGAAACAGCAGTAACCCCTTGCTGTCATTCTAGATCAATAGGTGGTTTCTCCCACGTCACTTAATGCACGTGGCTGAAACTTTCCCACCTCTAAAAATAAGTGAAGAGAGGTACCAGGGGAGGATAACTGACCTGACTAATTCCATAATTTCTGGAATTTCTCATCAGATTGGTTGGAGTCAATTTACAGAGAAATACTGGAATTTCTTAGATTCCGAATGATCACAATTTATACTACCATAGTCAAATAGCATAATCTGGAATATTATGGCTATCAGTTAATTTAGTTAACCATATGGCTTCAGTCTCGGGAACACAAGAACATTTGTATTTCATCTCTCCAGACTGCATTTCTAAGATATCTGGAGTACAGCCACCTGATGATATTTCCATCTAAAGAATGGTAAGAAGAAAGCTAAATGACATAGCTGAGAGTCATCATGGGAGAGTCTGTGGTCCTGCAGAAGAGGCAGTAACTAATTTGCTTTCTCATCACCATTTCATTACATATTTCTGTTTCAGTCTATCCACTGCTATGTCTCATGGTTTACATTCAGCTCAATTATCATACTTATGATACCATCTTCTCTCACTAAACAAAGAGCTCCTTAAAGATACAGATCATGCCTTTTTTCTTTTTTGTTTTCCTTAAATCTCTGTATCTCACTGCTTAGCTCAGCATTAGGCCCTGGATTTAATAAAGATTTGTTGAGTGAATAAGCACACAAGTAAATAGATGCTTAGAAACATATTTTGTTGAACTGTGATCAGATTTCCGTCCAAACCCCTCCAATGGAGGATAATAACCTTCTCCCTGTGGGAGTATTTACATAATCAGAGAAGAGCTGGGGTGAAAGAGAAACCCCAGCTACTAATTCTTTGTTGATCTTCCTATGCTAAGGTCAGCAAACAGGAGGATAATCAGCATGGCTGAATAGGTGGGGTGGAGTGCGGTGTCAAGAGAAGCCTGGAGAGGAAGCTCACTAAAGTCTAGAATGTCATGAAAAGTCTAGTTCATGAATTACCGTGGCTCTCCTGTTGTCTATGCTTCTGATCATCCTCTACAGCTGCACTAATTCTCCTGTCCAATTTAGCAGAACAAGACTAGAACTGCTCAAAGAACAAGACATTAAAGAAAATCAACAATTAAAAAAAAAAGCAAACTCTAATTTATGAACAGGATACCATACAAGATTGGTTTGGCTGGCACAATTCAGGATGTGCTCAAAACCCAAGGCCTCACCCCCTATTCCTCTTGGAGACTTTTGGTTTCTGTCCTTCCCTTCCTGCAGGAGAAGCTGACAGAAACATCATCCATTCTACCCCAGGCAGATGGAAGAAGTTGAGAGTGGTGCTTTGCCATTCTGACTCATTTGGAATGTAGAACCAATGATTTCACATCAGTGTGTTAAAGGTAATATCAGTCATGTTTGATTGAACTGCCAGACATCACTTTCAGTTTTTCTCATTCATAAAACCTTTCGTAGGACAGGAGACGAGAGGCTGCTAAAGAAACAATTTAGGAGATTCAAAACTTAATTCCATTTGTTTAGGGAGGCCAGGTTTAGCAAATAAAAATACAAAAACAAAATATGTCCCAAATATTACATGGAGCATACTTATACTAAATAATTATTCACTGTTCACTGACATTCAAATTTAGCTGGGAATCATGCATTTTATCTGACTACTTTGTCTTTTACTGAGATCAGGAAAAATTAGTTCAACTGTTGCTCTAACTTTTCTAAAGAAACAGAATTCTAGAAACTGTCTCTAAAAATTTTAGATGTCTGTTTTATTTTAAGTAACTTTACTGAGACATAATGCACATACCATACAATTCATCCGATAAAATAAAATGTACAATTCAATGGGTTTTAGTGTGTTCACAAAGAGTTGTGCAACACTGATGTCTGTTTTTTGTGTTTATTTAGATGTGGTGTTGTATGGGGCTCTATTACTAAGGCTCTGATTAACTTTCTGCCCTACATGCCACCATATCTATGCCCTCCTCCTTCCTGCTATTTCTTTTTCTTTTTACTTTTTCTGTCCTTTCCTATTAATTTCTCCAACTTAGTTATTTTCCCTTTGTGATTACACTTTTTTCTTTAATTGTTTTTCAAATCACCAATGTAATACATAAATATACTTTACCTGTAAAAGATCCAAAACCAGAAATCAGAGAGAAAAAATATAAAGTTTTACTTTCCCATGCCTTCCACTCCTTCTTCCTTTTCCAAGGAAACTACTGTTAATAGACTGGTGTATAGCCTTTGGGTCCCTTCCTTAGGGTATTTACCTACAAACATACACACACACACACACAAACACACACACACACACAAACAACTGTATTTTTTTTTTTAACAAATGAGATCCTGCTGTATTGCTCTGCTAGTTGCTTTTTTCATTTCACACTATGTATTGGAGAGCTTTCCATGTTAATATATACAAGCATGTCTCACGCTTTTGAATTTACTACCAGTATTGTTTAACTACCTAGCAATACTTGTTAATAATTTTTCTTGTTGTGTTATGGCAGTTTATGATAACAATCTTGACATTTGTATAGTGTATGAGTGGTCAAGGAGAGGGAAAGGAGAAATACAGTAAATGGGACAAGCTTATAAACTCTACAGAACGGGGGAGCTCTCTAGGCATTGTGTGAGAGATAATTCAGTAGAACCACACAACATATATGCAAAACAGTAAAGCAACAGATCAAGGCAGGATATAAACAAGATTAAAAGTGAACTGTAGAAACCCAAGAGAAATGAAATTGTACATCCCCACAAAAACTTGTACATGAATGTATATAGCAGCATTGTTTATAATAGCCAAAAAGTGGAAACAACCCAAATGTCTATCAACTGATGAATAGACAAACTGTGGTATGTCCATACAATAAAATGATATTCAACCATAAAAAGGAATGAAGTACTGATACATGCTACAACATGGATGAACTTTGAAAACATTAAGTGAAAGAAGCCAGTCACAAAAGGCTACATATTATATGATTCTATGTAAGTGTAAATGGGTTTTATATATATATATATATATATATGTCATGTCCAGAATAGACAAATCCATACATAGAAAATAAATTAGTGGTTGCCACGGGATGGAGATGGGGGAATTGGGAGTGAATGCTAATGGGTATGGGGTTTCTTTTGGGGGTGATGAAAGTGTTCTAGAATTAAATTAAATTACGGCCATGGTTCACAATCCTGTAAACATACTAAAAATCACTGAGTTGTATGCTTTAAAAGGGTGAATTTTATGGCAAGTGAATTATATCTCAATACGGCTACTAAGTTAAAAAAAAACTATAGAAATCAAGCACTATAGGAATTCAAGAAGGAAAGATAATGCCAGAGGGTGTGGGGACTGGTGGATAGAATTACTGGAGAAGGCTTCAGGGAGAAGGACTTACACTAAATCTGAAAGATGAATGTAGGTTCAGGATAGATGTAGGGAACACATATCTAGGCAGGAAGAAGAGCTTAATGAGACAGTTGGTCCTGAGACAAGTTGTATGATAGAACAGTTGGTAGGAAGAGTCTGAAGGAGGCAGGAAACAAGGCAGTCAGGCCTTTGATGTCTATCAATGATCTTAAATTTTATCTCGTAGCTGACAAGGAATTCCAGAAAGATTTTGAGCAGGGAAAAATGTAATATTACTAGAATTTCAGAAAGATTAATATGATATATTTACAGACTGCAGACATAAAGATCACTTAAAAGATTGCTGCAAGTATGGAGATTCCTCAAAAGACTAGGAATAGACTTACCCCAGATCCTTTCAGTACTTTGATTCACCATAGCAAAGCATGGAAATGGTACAGAAATCCTCTCTAACACCATCCCAGATCCACTTGCTCTGTCCACACAAAGTCTGCAAAGGATGATCTGATCTGCCTCAGCAACATCTTTTCACATTGGCCACCTCCTTTTTAGCAGGAGGTGGTTGTAAAGGATGGGGAGAGGAAAGGAACACATGCTTTTCTGATGAACCTCCAAATAAAAGTATAAAGTAAGATAAAAGTACAAAAGATGAGAGATTGTTACTACTCAAATTTTCAAATGACAAAACACCAGAGCTTGTGATTGTAAGTACGAAGTATTTACTTCTGCAAAGTATATTTCCTTTCCTGGTCAGTTTGCTTGATTGGTAGCTTGGCCTGTCTGTTTATCTGTCACATATAAGAGTGCACACACACATGCATGCCCACATGAATACTTTTTAGAGGCAATAATAATGACATACAGACTTAGAGTTCACCAACCTCCGCTTTGTCTGCCTTCACTTTGCCTATCAAGTAGAGACATTGCAGAGTAGTTCCAATTATAATTCCATGGAATTTCTGTAAAGGAAATACAGAGATTTAGAATGAGAATTTCTCATTGCTTGATATCATTTTACTTAAATGTATGCTTAAGACTGGGATTTAGA